AAATTTAAAAAATTTAAATCGAATTTTTAAACCCTCCCATCACTGTCCTTTATTGCTATCCGCTATTTTAAACTCCGTAGTTTATCAGAGAATAATTTAAAAACGGATGAAAATGTTTCGATCATAGTGACAAAGAACATGAGTGTCTTGTTGAAAGCCTATAAAAAATGTAAATAGTTTTAAAAAAAATCTAGAAAGCTGCTTAAACAATGTATTTTTTATCATGTTTGTTTAAAAGAGGATGAAGAGTTTATATTTAACTCTTTAAAACTTCAAACTTTAAAACAGTTACATTTTTGTAATTTAAATTTTAAAGTCCCATAAACGAATACGATATTATGTACCGCTATAAAATCGCGAAAATAATTTTTTACATGAAATGCTGAGAAAAATATATATAAATTTATGAAATGAATAAAAAATTAAATTGGCAACGTGAATTCATCGAAATGAAATGAATTATAAATGCAAATATGTCTAAACAAAGAAGAAATCACATATAGCATTTATAAAATGGCAAAAAATTTCTGTAGTAAGCTTATTTACTTTGCAAGTAATTCTTTGAAACAAGGGAAGTAATAATGGTTAATAAACAAAGAAAATCAGCTTTAGAAATATCTATAAATGCAAACCATCATAAACTGGATATGTTTACCAAGTAAAGCCCAAAGAAGAACCGATGCTTCTCTACCTATTTCGTATTGTGATATATTTTTTAAATATAGAAAATCTCTATTTACAAATTTTTCTCATATTATTGCTAAAACATCTTAGGTTACAGTCAAATTTTCATATGACTTTCATTTAAAAATATTTTTTCCTCTCTATCTGATGGTGCAAACAGCAAAGTGCAGAGGTTTCAGTCTAAGATTTGTCTATAAACAGTGTATATTCACAAATTGAGTTCGTTAGCTCATCAGAACGTGGATTAAACATCGACGGAAAACTTTTGACCATCGCGACAAACACCATGAGTGAACTAAATGAAAGCTATAATAAAAAAGAATACTATTTCCAAGTACGTTTTAAATAAACATCATACATCTACATAAAATCTCTAAATATGATATTCGAAGTTACTCATTCTTGCCATGACAGAATTACACATAAAATTATTCAAATTCAGCATTAAGTACGATTTGAATCAGAGCTGGCAAATAAAACCCTAAAGCCAATATTCATAGGTTTAGTTTTCCACCAATTCATTTGATTTTGACGTATTGATCAATTTGTCCTTTTCTAGGATTTCCCCCATATCAAATTACGTCATACAAAATTTATAACAGGAAAATGGTGTATGACTTTTAATTTGTGCAATTTTCGCTCAAAATTATTTGTTTGAAAATAGTTTCTCCTTTAAAATGAAGCAGTAGCCAAATTGTAAATTTTCAGTTGCCATGATTTGTTTTGTGTATGGGGGCTAAACTGAAGCAAAATGGAAATTCAGCTTCCCTTTATCTGCCTTAGTATTCTTAATGTGATGCATATTAATTACAGTTCACCATTTGTGACGTTGTCTAATAACTCCGAAACTTCGCTGTCCGATTTGATAATTTGGGCTGAATATCTACCCAAATATATATGCCAAAAGTTTTACTTATCATCAGCAAAGACAAAGAAGTTTTAAATTTGACAACAGCTAAGCCACTTTCTCTAATGGATGAAATTGACTACTTAAGTACAGAGCTTTGCATGTGATGAAAAATTAATGGTTTACTATATATAGCAAAGAAGTTAAGAGTTATATGTCTTAAAAGGGACGTTTTGATAGATGAATTCAAAAGGATAACCTGCTTGAATTCGCTTTGCAAAATAAATATCGGGACAATTGTAAAACCAGTTAAAAGACGAACTAAACTGAAAGTGAAACATTGTCGTTCAAAATGTTTCGCCATTCCATCGCTAATGACCGAAGGCATGAGGAAAAAAAAATTATTTAGATTATCTTTATATTTTCCGTATTTTCATTGCTATTGTTTGGCTTTCAACTAAATTTTAGCTTGGTACACCTAATAGTAAAATGCATTCATTCATTTGCTTCATTCACTGCACATTTTTAAAACTTAAGAAGTATTTAGAAGGGTATTTTAAATCAGAAACTTCCTTAGTGGGAAAAATATCACACAAAGCAGATGGGATTCTTGTAGTAACAGGCAAAGGATTCATTAAAAACAAGCTATTTAAAAATACTCCACTTTAGACATTTGGGCAAGTCTCTATGACTATACCTCAATTATCTCTTATTTTATATTAGAATTTTCTTATTGTGTAATTAATAGACTGTGCAAGAAGCAAAACATGCCACGAAATCCTTTAAACCAGCGCTGCTTTAACTGTGGATCGGAACCCCCAGGGGGTCGCGGGAGCTGCAGCAAGGGGTCGCCAAAATATTTAGCAGTTTTGATATCTCTTTAACTTATCATAATAATTTTACAGTTACCAAATATTTTTACATACTGTATCTGAAAATAGATAAAAATAAGACAGACAAAGAAAAACGGAAAACATTTCGACGCATTCTTTTTATAATAGAAACGTTCATTTTACTTGCTTTGCACGTGAGGCTGTCATTTCGTCTGTTACTTATTTAAAATTTTCATATTGTTTTATGTCTTAAAATTAGAAATTAAAGTTAATGCTAGAAAACTTAAGCTAGAAAATCTGTTCCTGTAAAATGAAGGATGAGTAAGCCTTTTCCACTAATTCGGATCTTCAGAATGGTAGCAGAATAATGATTGCCTTGCTGAATAGTTCAGGATATTTTTCTTTCAGGCCACCCCAGAATAAATAAGGGATTTTTTTTCAAATTGGAACTTAACTGACAACATCTTTTTATCTTTTCTCTGTTCAATCTATCTACCAGTGTCCACCATCACATATTTTTATTCAGGTACCCCCTGAGACCATGTCATGTAGGTAAGCATGTAGAGATATTACGTATTTTTTTAGACTAATACGCGTCTAGCGTGCTGACCACTACACCACGAAGGCATGGTAACAAGGCGGGAGAAATATCTTATAAGCATACTGCAGGTTCACAGACGCTACTGTAAACAAAGATAACATTCACTTCCACAACTATTCGAAATAAGCGAAAGTGTCAATAGTTTATATGGCATAAATTTACATAAGGGACCATCACAAGACATCGGAAACGAACTTGAATGCATATGACATATATACGAAGTCCCAAAATTGAAATTGTATTATTTGAAACAAACGGAATCATGACACAAAATTCAAAAATGAGGCTGAATTAGTACTTGATTTTAAAGAACAGATGTAAAATCTAGATTTTAAGAAGAGAGGGATGCTGGATTTCGTTGGTTTAGTTTTAATTTTATTAATTGCGTTAAATCACTTGACAGCTATCTGCTTAAGTGGGGGGGGATATCTTCGCGGAGAACTTTCTAAGAAAACCTGGCTCGTATACACGTTACACGTGGGGGGAACACTAAGTGTAATAAACCACTCCGTATTAACTTGTTTAAAAGGCTTTGATCTCGTAATTTCCTTACTGATCCTAATGAATGCAGGTTTATAAGAACAAACTTATATAACTGTAAAAATTGTTAGAAAATACTTTGTTGCTGCTGATCGATGGTTTCGTTAAGCCATCGATCCCGTCCTTAAAATGTATTCCGTGTCTACGAATTAATCTTCTCACATTGTCAATCTGAATATTAGCAGCAGGTGAAACTGTGTGCAATTCAACTTTTTTGCCGTCTTTAAAATACCCTAAGTAGAGTTTTCAGTGCTACATTTATTTTCTATAGTTACTTATTTCTCAAACCTGGTCGCATAACTCAATAAGATTCTGTTTTCAAGGATGAAACGTGTCTCGTCATAAAATCATCTAAGCAAATATTTGTAGGCGTTTTATCTTCCAAAAGCAAACCTAAATGTACATGCGCATGTATTTCTAGTTGCCAGGTGGGCCACAAAATTTGCATTCTCACTTGCATCAAAGCAAAACGAAAACACTATCATACTGTAATACTATGATTATTACCTAAACCCTGAAATGTAAAGCAAATCTATCTAACTTAAAAGTTTTCAAATAAATAAATTTTCTGTCAAAATGCTAAAAGCCAAATAGTTGTTCATATACACAGTTTTTATTCATTAAAAAAATTACAGTACTTAGTTTTCTTCTAGCTTATCAACAGGACGTACTGTTAAGTTTTTAACCATATATTAGTCCTCCGCTTCTCTTCTTGCCTTTCCATCACATAATGTTACTATTTTCAGATAACATTCACAATAGTTTGACTCGATTTCAGCATTTATAACGAGTATTATACTTTATTTATATACACTTCCGTAATCTGTAGTTCTAAATTTAGAGAAAGAAATTCAGTTTGTATTTTTGTAAAATACATACGTAATACTTTTAGTATTAAAAAGCAATAATTTCCATTTTTCTTGTTCCGAAGCTTCGAAATTAAAAATTAAACCCAACAGCGGCCGATTGGATAAATATGCTGAACAGTGCTTCAGATCCCAGCAAAAGGAATTCCTGCGTGGGATATTTTGTAGTTTTCTCCATGCGTAACGTTAATACTAACAAGTTTCCTTTAGAAAGCCTTCCACGAAAGCATCCTTCAATTAAGCAGATATTCCTCATTTCCTTTGCCCTAATTTATTAAATCTAAATCCAATCAAAAATAGAAGGATACCAATTTATTATTTTAATTAACTACAGTTCGTTAACTCGAAACTCGGCATACTTAAAATGTCATAAATCTTTTAAACTATATTTTGTTCACTACTTGTGCGATTTTCGGAAAATTTTATGTTTGCCGCGTTTCAAATTATCTCATTATTTAGTATAACTCACAGACCCATAAAATAGCCTTATTTTAAGAGCGGAGACCTTCAAACAGTGAATTTTATGTAATTTTTATTAATACTTAAGTAAGAATAGTCACGTAAAACTTTTATAAACGTATGATAGCACATTCTTCGTCATACTAGAGGTGATAAAATGGTATACTTACCGAGATGTATAACCCTTGGCAGAGCTGCGGCGTTGAGAACCAAGAACAAGATAACACAAATTGTGCGGTTCACGGGCAACAGACAAGAGCTTTTCATCTTGCACATTTCTTCCAGCACCTAAGATGGGCACCTCTTACGATTAGAGGCGCCATTCGCCAAGTGCGGGACATTGAAACGTGTCTGCTGACGTGTCCTTACTCTTGCCAAAACCCACAAAACACTAATGGTGGAATAAGATGGAGAGGAGGGCATTTGGATATTCTGCTTTCTACTCGTACACATGGGGCTACATGCGCCTTCAATAGCTGCTAAAGAAACTGGAAGAGAGGGGGAAGACACGAGATGTTTATTTTTGAGATCGGCAGGGATAAAATGGCGGAATTAAAAAATTAAAGAGATGCATTCGGTGTTACAAACAAGAATTTAACAAAAATGTAATAGCTACTGTTGAGGTATAATTAGTTAATGATTATATACGTAGATCTGTTGAAATGTAACTTCATTAATAAATAATGTTTGTCTTCCATACAAAAATTAATGTAATCCATGTTTAATTAAATTATTATAATATGACAGTTGTGATTAAGTAAATATGTCAACATCACTTAAAAACTTCCATTTTCGGCATAGGTTTTTCACTATATTTCTTTAATATTTGGCATTAACCGTCAGTAATGCTAAAGAATATCGAGGTGAAATGACACAGAGTTGTTGATAAGAAACACGTTTATGAGGAGTTTCGGTATCTTATAAAATCGCATGGTACTTTATAAAATGTTTAATGCTTAATAATTATAAAATGGTTATAATTATATGGTAATTTATAAAATAAGATTGTAAAAAAGATATTGTATTGCATTATTTTTTATGAAAACTCTACCAATTATAATTTTCGATGAAATTGTGAGAAATCATATTCCTAGGACTTTTCTATATATTCTACCTAAGAATTCAACTAATGTTTTGGCCCACCAGCGGCCGGTCTGAGTTTCGAATCCCGCGAACGGGCTGGCGTTTTCGGGGTTTTCCCCATGTGTAACGTGTATACGAGCCAGTTTCCCTTAGAAAGTCCTCCCCGAAGGCATCCATCCCTTTAGGCAGATAGCCCTCGTGTGCTTTGCCATAATTGAATAATCCAATCCAATCCAATCCAACTAATGCTTTGTTAATTTATTTATGAAAGCATTCGATAATATTCAGCCATTTACAGTATTTTCTGCAGAAATGCATTTAATATTTAAATACACATGAAAAAAATCTAATCAATTCAGCCTATTTCTCATTGACGAATTTAACGCAAAGCAAAATAAACGCTCTTTTTATGGTGTGCGTAATAAAGTACCAAACAATTAAATGTCAGATTTTTTAAACAACCTTTTTCCACAGCGATGAACTGAAATAGTATTAATTCCATTATTAATTATAAATATATTAATTTGCATTGATAAAAATATCTTATTGCAGTTTGAATGAGACATTACAATTGCTGTGTATCTGGCAATATTTCATTGCCGTCCCATGTTGTTTATTTTTACTTCCTTGTAGGAAGAAAAAAGGAAGTATTGTAATCGCGAAAAGTTTCAGGCAGCATATTTCTACGAAAATATCCATTTTGACCGCTTTCGAATACAATTTAACAATGTATTTGCGTGATATTTGTACGTAAGGAAAGAATAAAATACTCTTTTCCTCCAAAAAAATTATAAAACTGCTTTAAAATGAATTCTGAAGAGAATGTTTCGTGGCGTCTGTACGAACGTATGTACGTACGTACGTATCTCGCATAACTCAAAAACGAGTAACCTCAGAACATTGAAATTTTATATATAGGACTACTATAACATGTAGATATGCACCTCGTATTTGTTGCAATCGGCAGCGCCAAACGTATATAATATATTATATATATATCCACTCTGTTACCCGGCTCAGTGATCTCAGTTTCTTTATTCTATCTATTTGTAAATTGTACATTTCTTGTTTTAAAATGATTGAACTATGTGCTTATCTCCGGTGGGTTTTTATGCTTTTAGGTAAATCTGTATGCAATATTTAGAATTATCAACAATTTTAAAGTGTTTAAATGCGCTAAGCCTAATAATTTTTTTGATGGCGGCATTGCTGTTTCCATTGAAACAGAGGATAGTGGATTTGTTGCCAATCTCGAGAAACGTAGATTCACAACAACAAAGATAACGTTTTCATTTATAATTGCGAATTAATCATGCTTAATCCTATGTGGAATTTTTTCGAGGTTTGGTTTTGGTTATTTAATTATCGCAAAGCACACTAGGGCTATCTGCCTAAGGGGAGTGATGCCTTTGTAGATGACTTTCTAAGGAAAACTGGCTCGTATACACGTTACACATGGGGAAAACCACGAAAACGCCCATGCAGCCAGCCCGTTCGCGGGATTCGAAACTCTGACCGAACTACCAGTGTTTAACGACTTTACCGCTCGGCCGCTGGTGGGCCAATTTTTTTTTTCCGAAGAAATAAGTGCTTAAGATTTACTTCGTTTTTAATATACAGATATTTTGAGTTTTTATGTATTTTTGCCTTGTCGCAAAGGGAGAACTGAATTAATTGAATAAGAAATAGAAATCTCTTGAAAAACGGTTCTTTTTTGTTTTGGTTTGCTTAATTTTTTTATACATCGTCTAGATTATATAGTATTTGATAGAACATGTGGCAACGCTAGATAATTATCAAATGTATAAATTGTGCATTCTAGTTATAATTGAACGATATATAATACTGTAAGTGAACCAGCGCCAGAGTGTCGCTATGGTAAACAAATAAAGGGAATTTTAAGAATGATTTATTCTATTTGGTGTAGCGCTGTCGGCGAAGTATGTTTAATTCAATCCAATAAGTTTAAACGAAATGCAAGAAAAAATGCGTTATAATATATTCCGTACAAGGAAGTCATGTGGTGAAGATCAGTTTTTCTTCACGTAATGAAATAGAGCGTGAAGTTTAGGAAATACTTATATAATAGCGCTGGATACTTCAAGAATGATCACTATAAAAAAAGTTAATAGTAGATATAATTTATTAAGCTTTAATTACATATAATGTTAAAATAATCAATATTATTTAAACGAAAAATAGCAGTGATTTCACTTGGTAAAAATTTACTTAATTTTTATGCATTGTATGATCTTCTAAACGTTGCCAATGTTTTTAATAAACCAAAAATATGTTAAAATTATAAATATGAATTATTGCTTACATTAACATAGTTCGTATTTGTAATTCAATTTAAATTGCAATTAACAGCGTAATCTGTAATTATAAACAAAATATTTTTCATTCAAAAAAGATTTGAAACAGCCTTAGTAGATTTTTCTTATCCTACATGCCTGAGTAATATTGCTTTTTCTCAAGCTGTTCCAGATATTATGCATCCTCGAATTTAGTGCTCTGTAAATAGGTATTCATAGGAGACAGTGACTACATTGTTTGATTAATAACTTAGCTGTTTATTTTTTCAGAAAGCGTTATCAATCATCTAAATTGCGCGGCAGTTTTCAAGCTCCATTTTTCTGCTGTAAAAACAGGAAATGAACTTCGAGGTTAAAGCGAAAAGTAATCGTAGACGCGTTCGCCCTTTTTCATGCATAACAGGAAACCAAAATAAAGCACTTTCATCAATGATATTTGTAGAGTACTGTAAATAGTAAAGTTAAAAATGACTTAAAAATAAAAGATAAAAAATAAAGATCGCCAGCCACAAATAAATGAAACAGAATTATACTTTGCTGGAATGGAAATATTAGAATGTTGTAAGGATTTGATATAAAACTGTTCTTGGGTTTTTATCTAAGATGCAGCAATTATATGTTTGTGCCCTCGAAACTCTAAATAAAATTTATTAATGTTATCAAAGATAGATTTCTATTAAGGATAAAGATTCAATGGTAAGCAATAATAAAGTAATAAAAATTCAAAAGTAAACAAAATTAATCTTTATAGGTTTTGGGAAAAATTCTTCAGGAATATCATATCATTATTAAAACTACACACACAAGCAAACTTTCAAAACACTCAGCTCGATAAAAGAGAATCAGAAAGTAATTTCAAGATTCGGCCTAGATAACGAACAGTCAATCAAACCGATTAACTAGTCAACCAGCAGAGTCAAAATCAAATTCATTAAAATCATGAAACTTTTAATAATAATTACTTGAATATATTTTTAATCTCATTAAAGTGTAATTACTTAGTACATTATTATAAGGAATGCTTGATCGTTGCGGCTTAAATCCAGAAATTCTGAGGGAAGTATTTCAGAAAGTCTCTAAATTAGCAGCATTTCAAAAACATTTTTACACTTGTATTTCAGCTCATTGATAGCGATGTATGCCATTAAAATCATTCTAATACACTGCAATTTGTTTTACATAGATAAAATAAGAAGTTGAGACTATACAGGGTTGCCTATGAAAAGGATAATCCGTTTCAGCAATACCATGATAAGCTATGATGCTATGTGTAGAGGAAGAAGTTGATAAACAAAGCTGCAACACGGTTTGGCAACAAGGTCTACGGCTTCTTCTAAACAGCGAACACCGGTTTTGTAAACATGCTACTTTTTCTTATTTTAGGCATACTTTCTTTCTCCCACCCTGTATATTATAACATTTTTAATAATGCTTTCAGAAATTTATATAATACCATAAAATATGAAAGCAAATTATTAGTTTTAATTTTAAAATAGCCCCTTTGTTCTTCATTTTAATTTAGGTACGTCCCCTTTCCATCCTTTATATAAAGATGACGATGTAACTAATTCGGAATTTAAAATCTCCAGAAACGAAACCGTTCCCTTAAACTAAGAGCGGTAAAGTTGATGAACTGTGGTAGTTTAATTCGGGGTTCGAATTGCTGCGAACGGGCCACCAGGATGGACATTTTCGTGGTTTTCTCCATGTGCAACGTGTATACGAGCCAGCATTTCTTATAAAGTCCAAACCAACCATACCGATATCTTACAAGCTGCTGTTTCGCGGTAAATTAGAACCCAATACTGACTTTTCCTATCATCTACAAGATTTTTCATAAAGAAATCACCAGAATACGCGTTTTTAGTATTCAATACATAATATTAAACATATATACATAATTATGGGATGATTGAATCGTCTGACATTTCGTGCGCCATCTTGTATGTATTAACGTCCTTATCCCAGCTTTAAGAAGGTCGGAGTTCAATGCCTCCCTTTTATTAAG